CCTCTTCTTGCCCACAGCAGTTCGTACCCAAAATGGGACAATAAAGTTTACAGTGCTGCCAACCCCCAAGTCAGTCTATTAGATGTGCTATCAAGTCGGGCCTCTAGTGTAGGATTTGAATGAATTTTCTTGCTTGTTGTAATTCAGATGGTTGAAATCCTTCTCCATTACGCTGATCGGACTTTGAAGAAATGTCCTGACCAAGGGAAAATCCAGGTTATGGAGCAACATTTTCAGGTATGGTGCTCCAGAGGATTCTTTCCTACAGATCTTGAATTTTTTAATCAGACTTTGCTTTGCCTCAAGAATTACTTGCCTATTTTTGAAAAATATTGCTGTGGTTCACGCGAGCTCTCATCTCTTGTGTGCACTAAAGAAATCAGGACTTAGTTACGGCTAGGCGGCAGAGCAGAACCTGTATGCCCTCTGTCCTCTGCAGAAGTGTGACTGGAGTTTTTCTCCATGTGAACCAACATACAGGAAAACCTGTAACTACCAACTGATTCAAATAACTCATAGGTTTTGCTCTGTATTAGCCAGGCTTCATCTTGTCCTCTGCAGGATGTGCTATTTGGCCAGATTTTTGCCAGGCCCTACAGCTTTTTTTTATGTCTCTTCTGCAGGATGTGGTGCCCGTCATAGTTGATTACTGTCTCTTACTCCAGCGCATGTAAGTCTGAGTTTGCAAGCCTGTTTCCCGAGACAGAACACCAACTCATCTAGTCCTGAGTGCTGTCTCCTGTAATATCACAAGGTTTAGAGGAATGCTTAAAAACTGATACTAAGGTCAGGATACTTAGTACTGAAAGAAAAGTGTCTTAAATTTTCATTGATGTGTTGAGGAAGAAAAGTTTACTTCAAACTGTTTCCCCCACACCACCCCCTTAAGAAAGAAGCTGCCTTGATACATTTTCCTGTCATCATCATTTCCACTCTAACGGCAGGGGGTTTTCTGCTGGAACATCCATAGCCGATTTATTCTGTGTAGCTGCCTGTAACTTGCATCAGTATAGGAGCTGAACAGGGCATTCAGCTCCTGAGTTAGAGAAATACAGAGAAAATGGAGTTGAATTTGGACCCCTCACAAAGTAGATAAGTAAGGAGATTTTAATAAGATTATTTGATAACTAAACACATCTTTCCTCTTAGGGATCTATTATTTAACCAGATATATGATAAGATGAGTGAGAATTCTGTAGCTAAAGGTATCTTTCTGGAATGCTTGGAGCCATATATCTTAAGTGATAAACTGATGGGAATCACAGCTCAAGTGATGAAAGACTTGCTGCTTCACTTCCAAGACAAGAACAGGTTGGAAAACTTGGAAGCCTGCATTGTGCATATGGATATCACCAGCTTAGACATACAGCAGGTGAGCTGTTGTACTGCATACTGTATTGAGTTCCTCTGAATAAATTACAACATCCCCTAGTCACTGATGCAAACTTCCTGGACTTCTAAGCACAGCATAGCAGATCTCACTTTTCAACAAACAAGACTTGGGTGGTTCAAACCATTCATGCCTTTTGGTCGCTGATTTGTAGCAGAAATTAGCCTTGTGTCCCTGGGATGAAATCCAGTGAATATGGGAATTATTTAGCGTGGCTGTATCCATCCTGTAACATGCATGCTCCCATAAACATGTTTTGCTCCCCCAGTTTGTGTCCTGGCATAAGTTAGTGCATCAACCGCTGAATGTGTGAAAACTGCTAGTCCATCAGGATTAGTCTGATATTCACAATCAGTCTTTCCTGTATAGACTACCTTACCTGACATCAAAGGCTGCAGGGACACAAAAAATTGGAGTTGCGTTTGTCGGTTTGGTGCCTGCCAGCCTGCTCTGCTCAGGTGCTTCCTCTTGCATGACAAAGTTAGTGGAGCAAGGAGGTGTTCCTGCTGGGGAGTCCTGTTTTCCTTGGCCAGTTCTTATTCCCACAGCATGGCTTTCCATTCCAAGGAGGGGAACTGCTGGGGAACTTGACAAAATGATTCACTAGCCCAACCAAAGGCAAACTAGTGCAATCAAGGGTTTTGAAGAACTGATTTTTATTTTTTTTTTACTTAATCTCATGCAGGTTATGAATGTTAGAATCTAGACAGTTAGATTCCATGTTTGCTGGGTGAGTAATAAGCTGGATACTCCCTTTGGGGATTTGGGGTGCTTGCAGGGACTAGTTCTGCAAGTGGAAATTCTCATTCTGCTTTATGTCATGCTGTCGGATGATGCAAATGCAAGGACAGAGATTGTATTCGAGAGACTGGAGAATAAGAAAATGGTGAGCTAAGAGCAGCTGTGTATCTACATTATACTTTGTTTGCCTTGCAGGTAGTTCTTTTATGCTGGGAAAACCATCTTTATGATGCCATGATCTACGTCTATAACAGTGGAATGAATGACTTCATTAGTCCCATGGAGGTAGGAAGGATGCTTAGTGCAGTGAGTTATTATTTGTGTGTTCAGCGCAGAGTCTTTCTGAGAAACAGCATTTCAAACCCAGTACATTATCTTCTCATTCAGTGTGTATATTATCCTTGTTCTTTTTCATTTCAAGGGAGAAATCATGTATGATATATGCAGTTTATTTGACTAGATGCAGTAGAGGAGAAAAGTAATTCGTAATTACCGTGCTTTAGAACACAAATTTCCCTGCTGAGGTAGCAATACTCTGCAAAGTTAGAGCAGGAAATTTAGTCATGTTAATAAAATAAATATAAAACAAAAGCAGAAGAGGAGAATAACATGATGACTTAAGGAGGTTGCACTGCAAAGCTGTCTGCTATGAGCTTTGCTGCTGGTGGTGAGCCTGGCCTGTGTGGCATGAGAAAGCTGTGCTGAGAAAGCATTAGCTTTCTGCACAAAGGGGTTAATGGGAGTGTAGGCATGAGAGGTTCTATGAACACCTCATGCTTTTCTTTTTTGCTTCATACTGTTCTTCCTCTGCTGACACAATAGTATGTTAATATGTATTAAGAAGTAATGGAAACAAAGGGTGAACTTACCTATGTGCAGAATTCAGAAAAAAGGCTAGAAACAGTCCTTGCATTGAGGCAGGCTTTGCTCTTAGCACTTGGGTGCGATGTATCAAGAGTAAGCAGAGGACTCAACGTGATGCTCTATCCGAAGTCGCTGTTGCTGCTGCTAATCCTGACGATGTGCCTGATACACCAATTGCTCTTGAAGCCTATAGGTGTAACGTCAAGATGTTTCATTATGGAAGCACGGCTGGTATTTTCTCAGTAGTGCTGAAATAGAGAACTGGGTTCATTTGAGTGTGAAAATCTTAAAGTGCCCAATTTTTAGCAATTATAATCTCATTTGATTTTTTTCCAGGAAAGAGACTCTTTAGGTGTTCGTGATTTTAGAAAGGACTTCTGGAAACCTAGCACTAGCTGCGTGCCTACAAATAACTTTTTCTGCTCTCTAGAGCTAAATATTTAGACCTGACCTCGTTCTATATACCCAAACTAAAGGCTCTCTGGTGACCCTGCTAGATAGGCTGAAGGTTTCCATAATCTCCGGTGGCAGAAGATTCAGGAACAGGAAGTGGGGCTGGTCAGTTATGCTCTGACTGTTACTTCTGGGACTACTGAACATTGCTTTTTTTTTTTTTCAAGTGTAGCCTGTGCTTAGGTTTAGATCTGATTGAATGAAGGCTGTTTTTTCCTGTGTCATAATATCAGCTGGGAAAAGCATCCTTTGCCACATCATGCTGTTCTCTGTGCCTTTTAATTGTAAGACGTGGTAAGAAATCCAAGTTTCTGTGGAGAAGATGCCCCATTGATCTCTGCTTTAAAACCACACAGATTCTTTGCTTTGAGCTTTTCTAGCTGCTTGAGCGCTGCCTTCTTTCTTGTTACAGAAGCTGTTCAAAGTCATTGCTCCTCCACTGAGTGCTGGGAAGTCTCTCACAGGTACAGAATTCTTTCCCTTTAACGGTTTCTAGTTTTGATATTTGATGTTTTAAATATCTGTAGTCCCTTCCAACCGAGGAATGCAAAAAGGCAATACATATGCAATATAAGGGTCTTGGAGAACAGAAAAGTGTTCCAGTACTATTTAATGTGTGTCAAGCTGCTCAACTAACTGTGTGTAAAACTCTGCATGTGTGTCAGATGAGATGTTTTGCTAACAGCTGGGAAAAAGAATTGCATCTGTCTGTTGCCTTGTGAAGAAAAGGTGACAAATAATTTTTGTTTTGTAGATGAGCAGGTGGTAATGGGCAACAAGCTGCTTGTATATATAAGGTAAGGTCCTTTAGAAGGTGTGTGAGGTGTTGCCTAGTGGTGGCACTGGATTTTTTAACTCGCTATAGTTGCATAATCTTACAGTGTGTTTCAAGGTCTGAGACTGTGTAAAATAGCAATGTCTCCTTTGTACAGCTAACTTAAAGTTACAATGGCTTCTTGTTACACAGGGTATGAGTGGATAGGTAGGATAAAGTTGGAGACCTAGAGCTCAGGTTACTGCTGATATGCTGAGATCATATCTTTATCTTTAGAATTTGGTTAGAGTGAGTTCTTTGTCCTGTGTATGACAAAGTGTTCCTTGAACAAGGACTCTGTAGCCTGAAAAGCTGTATTTTAGACTTTTCTGCCATGCTTTTAGGGATAGCTGTGCTCAGTTGGTGCTTACTGTGTTGCCTATCATTTGCAGGAGGTCGTTCTGAGATTGCACAGTAGTGATTAATTAGTGAATTCCTCTTTCTAGAATCTATTCAAGATCATGAATATTAGGTTGTGCATTATTCCTGCTTCCTAAAATGCAGGAGTAAAGATTTTTGTGAGAAATACTGAGTTTCCCCCTTTTCTGCGGTGGAATGGCATACTTCAGATGCAAGTTCATGCACTGCATTGGCTATTTGTGTATTAACAGCAGTGCTGTCTGCAATGCTGGCTTTCGTGATTTACAAAATAAATTTGTTGGGCTTGTTTTAAGAGCATCCTGAAAACTAACTCAAAAAATAAACTGTTCTCCTCAATCTGTTCAATGTCAGGATGTATTAAAAATGCCTTTCCCCTTCTTTTCTGTAGCTGCTGCTTGGCAGGCCGTGCATATCCATTGGGCGATATTCCTGAAGATCTGGTACCTTTGGTTAAAAATCAGGTGAGCAACCTTTTGGAAGGAGACTTTCCTATATGAGATTTTTAGAAGAAGCTGCATATGTTTTATTTCATGGGTTTCTGATTGAAAACTATTATCAGCCTAATAGCTGTATATGAGTGATATGAGTATATACCAGTGTAAATAGCAAATAAATTTTTAAAGAATGAAATCAAACAGTTGTTACCTGACAGTTAAGCTTAATATTTTTCTTTCAAACATAAATTGGAGTGTGGGAGAATAGAGTTCTTAGTGGCACTAATTTTGATTGGTTTTTTCCTTGTTGTTTACCACAGACTTACCAGAAATTTGTGGCTGTCTCTTCTTTCTAAACTTGACTGTGATGTGTCAAATATGGGAGGATCTTCCCTCTTTTCAAATGCATGTAACATGGGATTGACATGAGTAGCAAGTGAGATACCATCACAAAACATTAACTAAATATTCCTTCTTCTGTTTGGCTGTTGCTAAAACTTCAGTTTGTGTTGGAGTTTTCCTGCCTCGGATATTACAGCTGTGGCCTCTTTGCACAGCAAAGTGTAAAGTTCAGCACAGTCATTTTCCATGATGAAGGTCCCACCGTTAGATGCATTTCTGTTAGTCTTTGCCCTGGTATCCTGTTACCATATCTTCACCTCTGAGGCTTATCTATTCTCAGGTATTCAGGACACACATGCATCTCTCTTCTAGGTGTAATTCCCATGTTCAGGGTGAGTATGTCTGCCCTACCGCTTAAATCCAGATCACATATCCATAGATACATAGTTAAATGGGTCGACGAGGTGGAGTGTACCATCACTGCTGAGTTAGGTGGTACTAGGTAGAGTTCAGTAGGTAGAAATGTCTCTACTAGGTAGAGTTCGGTGGGTAGAAATGTCTCTACTAGGTAGCTCTGGGTTGCAGGTTTCTCTGAGGCTTTTGATTTTATAGTCTTAGTTATATTCGTGTGTGTTCATGCTCATCTCTGCTCATCAAGACACTTTGTATTTGCTGAAGATAAATTTCCAGCCTTGTGATAACTGCAGATATTCAGCTGAGGTCAAGAGCACATTGTAATCGTGCGCTTCAGACTGCATCCTTGTAGCCTTGGCTTGTGGGGTCAGCCAGCTACCTGTTTCAGTGGCGGCTGCTCCTCTGCCGCTTCACACAGGCACGTGTGGGCATTTGGTTGCCAGGGCTACTTAATAGGTTCAGAGTGCTGCAACCCATCTCTCCTTAGGCTTATCTCAGGAACCTCTCTTGAGAGCCTCCTTTGGTGGGAAGGAGGTTCTGGGGGTCACAGAACTGGGAAA